TGCAGGAGGAATTGTGTGGGGGAAGCGGGTAGTCGGGCGCGTGGGTGGCCGGAATGTGAGTGGGTGCGTGGGTGGTCGGTGAGTGGGTGAGTGTGCAGAGGTGGTCGGTGAGTGGGTGGGTGTATGGTGTGCAGAGGTGACCTGAAGAGTGAGCGGGAGTATGCGTGGGTGTGAGTGGTAGGATGGGGTGGGTGCACAGGAGGGAGGGTGGGAGTGTTGGTCGGTCAGGTTGGATGGTCAGGTGAGCGGGTGGATGGGTGATGGATGGTGCGAGTGGGCGGGGTGGACTGGACACGTGCGCTGCCACGAGCACCAGCAAAGCGTTTATTTTCGGCTTTATGGAGGCACTGATTACGCTGTAGTTAGGGTGGTGACCGAGGTAGGCGAATGCCAAGTATTTTAGTGTCAAGAATCTCAAATCACACATTTGAAGGCGTGAAAAAAATAATACCGCGCTGCTCAGCCTTTTTTTGGAAATGTAAGTTAAAAAAGAATTCGTAAAGAAACGTTCACTTATTTTTAAAGATTTGACCGAAATAAATATTTTGGCAAACGTAGGTTTTGAATGGATCTAGAATAGATTATCTACTTTTTGTTCAGACTAAAACAACTCCGCGACTATCGGCGTTATTTCACTTATAGAAAGTATTATAGGGATCTGGTGATTACAAAGTCATTGGTATTTACGTAACATCAATGGATAGTGAGAGAAAATGACTGATTTGTTGAAATTGCTGAATATTACTGAAATTTCACTTTCTTCGTAAATTTAATTCAACCATCCATATGAATAAGAAATGCATTCTTTTACTTTTGTAAAGTATCAATGCCTCTTCTGAAATAGTGTTCAATTGCCATCGACATCCTTTCACAATATAATTCATACCATAAACGTCCATATTTATCATTCGATGATTTTACCCTGCTTCCCCTCCTGCTGATAGGAAATGTAGCAACAAATAGCATCGGTTTTAATTCTTACTGCTGTGCCTCCATGTGTATCATCTGGATGATTTGTGCAATATACGTCGTAGGTATGTATAGGCAGTTAGCTTCTTTCTGTAAAATGTGATTCGGAACACAAGAAGTGTCAATACTTTCTTGATGTAGAAACACTTCTAACTCTATACCATGTTGGAGTATTCCGTTGGCTTTCCAGGAGGCAATTCGCAATAAATTGCTCATAGTTCCTTCATTATTGCAATTATGATATTAAATAGGCTAGAGATTTGTTCAGCTAGCTTTGCTAAAATGGTCTCGAATTTTTTAAATGATTCTTGTATTATGGATATTAGATTAGTTTTATACGATACATTTTGATTATTGATTTGCGAACAACGGGCCATTTGTGTATATGTGAACGAACTACATGTCCCTATGGTTTGATTACTCGTTGGTGAACTTGAATTGCTACCTTCAGTTTTGTTTTGTAGAATTTATACTGTATAGACTTTGACTAGGATACTTGCTGTTACGCATTTTTTGATAGACTTCGCAGCTTTTATTATTTGCTGGATGGTCACGGCTGCAAAGAGCACATGTAGGTGGTGTGTCTCTCGTAGTTACAGGTCCGACTATCGTGATTCATTCCACATTTGACACAGCTATACGGAAGAGTGCAGTAACGAAAACTGTGCTCGTAGGACTGACATCGCTGGCATTGTATTATTTCTCGCATTTTGCGCGGTGGTTCAAAACTTATTTTTGCATGTAGTAAGTATTCGACGTCATATATTTTTTTGTTGTTACTTTGAGGTTCTAAGTCCACAAAAAACATTGATAGAGGTGCTTGTGTTAACCGATGCTTGATATTATGAATCTGTCTTACCTTGTGACCTTGTGCTTCTATAGCTTCTTCAAGTTCCATTTCGTCTGCTGATGGGTGCATATTTTTAACACTACCGGTACCTTTCCTTACCTGAAATGTATAATAAGAAATATTTTTCAGATTCAAATGTTTAACAACTTTAGATAAACATCCGGTGTTTGATGTAAGATTTTGACATTGTTCATTGTTATTTTTGGTTCATCTTGATAGGTTTTGATTAGTGTATACGAGAACTCTTCATCTTTAATTACTTCTTTAATTGATTTGATCATATCAGATATAACTCTAATGCCTGGTATCAAAATAGGCGGTGTTCGATATTCGGCGTGTTCTTGTATGCTGCATTTGGTTGTCGTGTTATTAATATTCTCAGATTTCGAGGTTACTTCTAAATTTTTAGCACGAGAGAGATCTCATACATTTTTTCTAATGATAAGGCGTCATTTTCACTGTTA